CGAATCAAGATCCCTTCTATTCCCGTCCTTCCTTGTCCTCTTTAACGCGAGTTCAGCGCCATTTGCAGTAAGGTTTTGACGGCTTGCTACAATCCTCCCTGGTCCTCCCCGTTTCTTGTCGCACGAGCGGTGCCGCCTTCTTGCCACCCCCTTGGGCCCACAGTGTCATCCATCACATGCATTTCGTACTAGATTTCCCCCTGGAAACCATTTCTGAGATTTTGCTCTTCTCTTTTTCTCTTTAACATCTCCAAAATCCCCTTTTTAAAATAACGAGAGTTCTCTTTCCAGCCTCCCTTATTTCACACATTGATTACTGTAACCTTCGGTTTTAAGACCCTGACTGCAGCAGACAGCTGCCCTCAAGACCACATCCGCTCACCCCACAATCACACCGGTCCTTCCTTTACATAGTTAATTGACAGGCTCCTCAGCTTCTTGCTTGCCCTTACTCCTAAAACCTTTCCACATCTCCCCTTACCTTGCTGAGCCAATAACCTACCTACCACCGAGCAGCCCTTAACCTTTGCCCGCCAGCCTCTCTCCGCCGCCTGTCAGCTCCTTCCCTAAGTACAGACTTGCTTTCTCCCGAGCTTTCCTTCAAGCCTGGGAAAAGCTTCCCGATAAAAATCTCAGAAGCCACTCCTTTCTCCTCGTTCAAAACTCTCCTTCCGACTCCCCTTGCGGGTGCCAAAAGCCCCACAAAAGGCAGGCTAACGGCTGGGCAACTGGCGCGCCGTGATCCTCCCCGCCTTGCCTCGCTCCCTACCTCCGCTCCCTGTGCGACGTGAGCCCAACAAAAGGACACGGCCGCTACCGAAGCGAAGCGGGGTCCCTGCCGCCTCCCCGTCCCCCGGGTGATCCGTACCCGCAGAACGCAAGGCCCTCGGGGCAGGGAGAGTCCCTCTTTTTTCCTGCATTTCCAAAGCACCTAGCACAACTGTGGCTCAGTTCCCAGCGAGGGCCTGTGCAGGCTACTGAAATAAAAACATCTTCTGCTAACAGCACGTTCCCTGAAGGATAGGTAAGGCAGAGCTGGGAACCACCGGTGGAACGCGGCTGCCGCTGGCACAAACCCTGAGGGCTAGGAGACGTCACAGCGCTATTAGCCAGCTGGACAGAAATGAAATATGGGAGCACAGAGCATTAAAACCGCTGATATTTTGTGCGGAAGCGAGTGACAACTGGCACTTGCAGGATCTCTTGTAAGTCAGCGTTCCAGCCTCTTACAAAATTTTCAGACGTTTAGAAATGCCTCTTTTCCTATATTTAAAGCAAACTTCACTTTCAGCAAAAAGTGGTGCTTCAGGGCTTCACTTCTAAAATAAGTTCAAATCATGACAGCTAAAATGTCGGAATTAATTAAGAAGGGGAAGCTGTGCAGAAAACGGCAACGATGCCATTGAAGAGAAAGCGGCTGTGTTCTCCAGGCCTCTCCAGGAGTCAGTGCATAGCAAGTCTGCCCCTATAAGCAGATAGCTAGCTGGCAATTTGGTCAACCCTGAATTATATGCTGGAGCGCTAACTTCCCTTGTGGTTGCAAAAAAAGAAAGGCTTTAAAAACATGATTTTAAATTATGCCCAAGGGTATATTTAAAGACTAGCTAGCCAAATTCCACACTGACTTCTCCTCTGCTGGAGCACTGTTGGGCTTTAGTGGGGTTGCCTGGCAGATAAGAGAGCGCAGAGCCTGGCCAATTCATTTTAACCATCATTATATAATATTGATGTTGTATTGAATATACATATATATTCTGGCATAGTGACTGAAATTAAATTGATTTATTAATTTGATACTGCGTACCAATGCCAAGCTACCAGGTAATTGATCAGCTGCCTAGAACGAACTTCAACATGCAATTTCCATTGCAATTTGACTGATCAGCAATACTATAATTGGTTGCAAATGTCCTTCCTTCTGTTTGTTTTGCTAAGTGGCTTTTTCATTAACGCAGCAGAGCCAAGTAAATAAATATGACTTTACTATTGGACCGAAGACAGACAATAGTTGAGAAATGGATACAAACCGGGAAAGGGCTGTAAGATGTTGTCAAGCAGCATTCATTTCTTATATTTTCTTATTTTTGCTGCATTTAGAGCCTGCTTCCTTCAGAAGAGATTTCCTTTTAGCAGGACAGTCATAGCCAAGAATAGGCTCAATGAAATGCAAGTGCATTGAATTTATGCCCCCAAACGCCCTAAGTCAACAGGATTAGGCCAAGCCTTAATGCCTCTACTTAGAACGAGGTCCTCAGAGATATCCCTGCAAAGAGGGGAGCAAGTAAAGCCTTCAGGAAGGGGCTCACGACTCCGGTGGGGCAGCACCCAGGCACCCGAACAAGTTGGCAAACTTGCAAAACCGGACACGGACGCTTAGGGAGGTGGCACCTTCCTCCTCCAGCCGCTCTTACGCCGATACCTGACGAGCACCAGGTAGCGGCTCCCTGTCACCAGGCCCTGGGGCCGAAGGCAGTCCCCCCTCGCCTTGTCCGAAGTCGGGCTCCGCGCGGATCCCCACCTCCAGCATCCCCACAGCACGGGAGATTTACCAGACTGGAAGCGCAGACGGAGCCACGCGATTTCAAAGACCAGCGGGTGGTGTCAGAAATAAGATGCAAAGTTCCTGAAAACACTGACCCAGTACTGTAACTGAGAGCAGGTGCAATTATTTGATCAAGAGAAAGGTGGGAATGCACGGCTGCGGGGCTAGATACTCCAAGAAATCGCCACGCACATCCCTGGATCAGCACATGCCGCCGATGATGTCCAAGATACAGGGCAACATTGTTTTCTGGGTGCATAATTCCTTGGCACATGCTTTTTAATGTTCTTTCCCTCTCGTATTTTATTGTATTTTGATGGTTAAATAATCCTGTTGATTCCAGGCCATTTCTGGCTAGGCTCTAAACATCTGTAACCATGTTAGACTGGGCAATGAACATTGGTTATCTAGGGACTTCACAGCCATGAAACATCATTACTAACCTTCCACTGTGAGTCACAACAAGGCATTACAGGGGCAAAGGCAATAAAAAAGGTCGTCAAAATGAGTAAAGTAGCTGAGTCAGAAAAGAACTAATCTGTTATTTTCAACTATTTTCAGCAGCTGAGGACTTTGTACCTTCGACACTTTTCACCCACTGGACTCTCTCAAATGTAATCACTGCTTCTCTTCTATTGGGTCCCTGAAAACGTTTGACAATGCTTTATTCCAGTGCGAATAAAATTACTTAACTGATGCGTTCTCTTTGAACTACGCCATTTAAATCCTCACGATACCAGGGCGTTTGCAAACAGGCATGCTTCATTAGCCGATTCTTAACCTTGCACACAGAAGAAGTCTGGATGAAAATGTTTGATTTCATTTTTCCTCCATATTGCACGTTCAGAAGGGATCTGGCTTGCAGCTACGCAGAAATCCAGGACTGCCAATCGTATGAGCTTCTCCGCAGCTGCACCGGCGCTGAGGTGTCACTTAGAAAAAAGGGTGGACAACATGTCACTAACCCCTCAGCGCATATATGGTGTAGGGCTGAGGTTTGTGATTTTGTACATGCTTTATAAAGAGCTTAGCATAGTCATTACTCAGCAAATAAGAAACAGGTTAATGGGTTCGTTCAGACAGTGGTAAATTAAAGTTTACTGCGCCCTGGTGTACACAGAACCCCCAAAAAACCACCCTTCTTGTAGGGATCTGTTCTGTAATTCCTGCCCACAGTATTCACCCCTACGAGCGGGATCACCAAAACCATCGAGATTCAGCATGTGAGTATGCAGCAACCGACTCCCCCTTTTTTGCTTTAATTTTGAACCCCCCGTTCTCCCAGCAGCAGCAGCGTACGGCTTGCAGAAAACGCTCGGAGGGTTGGCGAGGAGAGCGAGCCCCCAGGACCCCGGCGGCCGCCCCAGGCCTGGCTGCTGCCCGAGGCGTCTCTGATGCCAGGCCCCCCACCTGCCTCCGATTTCGATGTTGCTCCGGAAAGTGCTTGTTTCCATGTTGTTTATTGCTTCTGCTGGTTATCACACCGCTTCTCCCGAAAGCTGAAGCTCGGCCTCACGGAGCACAGCCTCCCCAGAGCCAGGGCATTGCTCCTGGTGAGGCAGGCAGCAAAATAAGAGATTGCTCTTCATGCAAAGGACGAAATGAATCTAACCCAACTAATCGGAGAGGATTCTTATAAACCTCTTGGTTTATTCCCCTATAGCTTTTAGAGGGAGGAAGGTTTATCTGCAACAGCTTTGGAAGTTGTACAGCAGGAACGAGGGCAGCCCGGACTGGGGAAACGCTCACCAGCGTTCAAAGCTCTGTCAAGGGCCATGGCCGTTTCTTGGCAGTAGCCTCTGTTCAAACAGCGAAGAGCATCTCACTCACAGTACAGCCTTAGTGCCAATGACTAAGCAATTCCTATAAATCAAGCTGCAGCAGAGTTCAGAAGCCTAATAATAATCTGCAGATATAAAATAACAACAACGTAGTGGTTTTAGTGTTAAAAAGGTCACAGATAAGTGTAACAGGCATTCTGATGTTGAGACTTGTAGCTTGGCTTCAAATAAATGTAACATGCTATTTGATGTCTACTCTTCAGAGCATTAGAAACTGGAATTAAACAATGCAATTAAAACATACCAGAGACGTAATCTGATCTTGCATCTACTTCTATCCTTGCTGCTTCACCTCCTCCTGCAATTCCTTTGTCTCTCGCATGCTAAAAGGACTTGAGAGTGGGGTTTGGTACCTGTTTGCTGGCCAAGACCTCAGCAGCATGAGCAGTCCCATCCTACTCCATTTAGCTCAGCCAAGGCCACTGAAGAGCTCCAGGCCAGCAAGCCCAGGCGGGGAGGTCAGAGCAGCCCGAGGTCCGCGCCGGGCTGGGCTGAGCGCAGCGCTGGGGAAACGCAT